TTTAAAAAATATAATATTATAAATAATAATTTATTTTAATATATTAAGTCTTTAAAAAATACAGTTTAAATATAATTATAACTTCGTACGAATTCATAAAATTTATCATAGATGGCGCAATAACAGGTATTTTTCCAGACGACAGGAACTCCGTAATGCGCGCGCGCCCTCTATACGATAATGACAGTAATGGCCGATGGTGGAAGCGGATGTAGCGCAAAATGTCACATCTGATATCTGCCGATATCGTTTGCGCTGTCGGAATATTAGAGGGTCTCTGTCCGAAGTGAAAGGTAAGGATACGTTTCTAGAATAAAACCTAACTATAATATTCAGTTAAACTATTGCAGATGATCAGTAATATCCTTTTATTTGTTTAAATGCCATCTGTACATTGCAAACAATACATTTAATCTCTGGATTGAATTGTATATTAAACATTTAAAACACAGCTTGTACTTTATTATTTAATACTTTAAATATCAATTATTTAACGTATTAATAAAGATAATAGACAAAAGCATAAAACACAAGTGAAGTATGAAAATTACAAAAGTAAATGAAATATTAATTTACATATAATCAAAGGAGTAATGAGAAACAAAATAAATTATAAATTACAAACTGGAATGGTTAAAAAATGAAGAAGAAAAACATTCTCCATTAGGTAAATTAGTATAAGTTACCTTCAGTTATTGTACTTGCATGTACACCTTCAGTTACTGTACTTGTATACCTTTATTTACTGTACTCGGTATATCTTCATTTATTGTACTCGGTATCTCTTCAGTTACTCTACTTGTACACCTTTATTTACTGTACTCATATACCTTCATTTACTGTACTTGCATGTATATCTTTAGATGCATGTACTGTATGTAAATACATAAATAATCTTAAAAATAACATACCGCTAAATCAATATATTCCTATAAATTGGGACTGAAATATTCATTTGAAGTTAAATCAAGATGTATAAACACCATAAATGATAAAGTTGTAAGTGTCTTTCTAACCAACATATTGTACAACGTTATGCCATTAAGGCTGGAAAGATTTTGCATAATATAAATTTATATTTTTAGAAGGTTCATTAACCTTGAGACGAAAAAAAATCTTTAATGGCTCCTTTTTATATATTGACTTAGGAGGAAATTGTTTAATTATTAAAAATAAAATGTTTAAAAATATTTACCGCTAGTCAGTTTAAAAAAAAATCTGTAAATGTGATCAGGTTATTTTTTCAGTTTTCTCACACTAATAAATTTTTGGGGTGCGGGGAACTTCATCGATTTTTGTGATTTTTTTTCCCTTATGAAATTTGTGAAAGTTGTGTCTGTATTTTTTATGAGAGAGAGTACAATAAAAGTGCGTGATTTGTCAAAAATTGAGTTTTTTTATTCCGATTTTATATTATTTAAACCAAGAGTTTCCAATCTAAATAGCTCACTATATCTAGATCGCTATCGACCCCTGAGGGGGTGTTGTTTAATTTATTTAATAAATAAAGTCGGAGAACGAATTGATTTTTATTATATTTAAAAATATATAATTTATTATTGTATTATATATTTAAATTTTAATAAAATTACAGTAAAACCTGTTTAAAACGGAACAATGATTTCTATTTTGATAGCCTTTCGTTTTATAGCGAGATTATTTTATTAATTAACTTTTCTATAGAGTTGGGGAGAATCAGTGGTGATTAATGTCTGTATTTCACTGTTATTTTACAGACAATGAAAGTACGAAGTTAACAAAAATAAAAAAAAATATTACTGGCACACGACGTATGGATATTCGAATAGACAAATGGAAAGTTATGTTTAATGCCATCTGTCATGGGATTTTATTAAAATAATTTTTAATAAAAAGTATTAATTATTATAAAAAGGCAAGCCTTATTTTTGGGGTAAGATGTGAATTCTAATAATGTTTTAATTGCTAATAACGAGTAAACTTTTCATTAAGTTTGACCTTACTCGTTCAAGCCCCTTTTGTTTCTCCTTTGACTTATAATCTCTAAAATATAATAGCATTGATTCTCCATGTATTAAAGTGTTCCTACAAAATTTTGGGTCCGGGAATTCGAAGATATGAAGCAAAACGATCACTGTTCTAGTCTATAACTAAAATGATAGACTGTAACTCACGTCGAACATAATCTAAGCTAGAGAGTTACAACATTAATTATAATTTTAGAATCTAATTGTTTTTAAGTCAAAGAAACTCCACTTTATTCAGGTTCTTTTATGCAATTGATATTAAAAAGAAACTTCCATTTTCGCTTTAGACAAGTTTCTGGTTTATAATAGTGTTTTATATAAGAAATCGTTTCATTTTGAATTTTTTAAAAAAGATTTTAGGCTTTACTGTATGAAATTTATATGTAATTTCCTATTTAATTTTTTACTTTTGTATAGAAGAGTATTGGCGAATTAAACACAATTTTGGAAAGATAAGCAAAAGCAATTGGAAACTCCTGATTTAAACTAAATATTTCACTGGTAAATAAATAAATAAATATTACCTGACTCATACTTCACATACATTGCCATCTGTTGACAGATTTTACTATTGAAACAACGTTAAATTTTTTTATTTTTAGTGCGAAATACTAAAATAGAAACCTTGCCGAATCAGTTATTAAGCGTATAATTATTAATTAATATTTTAATATAAAATAACACAGAAATTTTNAATTTTTCAATTCTCAATAACAACTTAATCTCTGCCCATTTTAAATTTAATTATGAAAATTGGATTATAAGAATTATTAGATAAATGTTGACGTTGGTCACCAATTAAAATATTTCAAGAAAAATAATGATAATATAAGAACAATTTTATGTATTAGATCATCTAACTGACTCATTTAGAACGAATTCATTATACCATAGATAACGAAAGAAAAATCATTCATAATATCTCTAAATGACGACATCAACAATTTTAATATGTTAAATGATAAACGATACGCTAATTAATACGAAATATTATAGAGTATATTTTCAGAATTTATAAAATGTATATTATTGAATCGATATATAAAGAATTGCGGAATGATTCAGTATCGAATCCACCTGTATTATTTAAAAGTTGACGTAAAGACCTTGACTTTCTTAGTAAACAGATTGTTGACTTTGAAAAGCTGGCACTAATCCAAATATAGTGATTTCTAGTGATGGGATTTCACATCCGTTCCTCCGATATGAATTACGCAAGTTGTTAACGCTTATTAAAAACAATATTTACATATACCGAATGTACAATATTTACATATACGTGCCAGTTAACATTTAACTAACGTTTTAAATCCCATGTCGAAAATCGTGCGATTCTTGAATGGAGGTTTACTACGTTGCCCGTGGCAATGTGCCAACACCGGATCATTTCCAAAAATCACCGAAAATTCATTGCGTTTCTCCTCTTTTCATAAACATTCCAGATCCATTCATGCCATTTTTTAAAAATAAAAAAATCTCCTCTATAACCGGATGCGAAATGTTTTTAAGTGATAACATATGTACTCGTATTAGGTTAAGAAAATAAAAATAGTGAAGAAAGCAGTTATTTATGCTCGAATGCCTCTTAGAAAAAATAACACAAATTAAATGTTTAAGTGAAAAATATGTCTTATAAAAGAGGAAATTATTTCAAAAAGTGTTGTTCATTTCGAATTCAAGGATTTCGGTGATTTAATATCTGTCAAACTTATCGGGTATCGATTATTCGCGCCGATACGGAATATGTCGCGTGTTATCACATGATATCGACGTCATGTCGAGTGTTTAGATTCTTTTCTGCGATTGGTTTGTTTGGAGGCGTGTAGTTGACCTATTTTTCGAATCACGTCGTATAAAATTGTTGTTTCTGACGTTCACGTGAATTACTTCGCTCTCAGCTGGTTTGTACCGAGGACGATGAGTGGCTAAATCTACAATACGTTTACTATCCAGGTATAGTTTCGTTGGTTTTTTCCCCCTAACAATAAAACAAGTTTTAAAATATTCGGGCGCGAGTAGTAGGTTAATTATTTTAATTACATTTAATCGTTATTATTATTATTATTACAGAACTGAATCTCTGTTAAAATTTTTATCCCGTAAATTAACTGAACTCGTTTCGACGTAATTCTTTTATAATTATGGTTTTCTTTTGACCCAAAATTCTTATTTAACATTACAAAGTACCGTATAATTTAAATTCTTTAACATTTTTTAAAGTGTGTAGATTATGGGAATTATTTATCGCGTCATTCTTTTACGTCATATTGTGCAACCGAAGAGTTTTGAGCGAAAATTATGCTGATTTTTCGATTTTAATTATAATGTCATCGCTTGTCAAGATATAAGGATGGAAATTTTTACTTTTTTCGCTGTTTATTAGGCATCATCTCTCGCAGGAAAACAGTCGTTAGTAATTTTTACCCAGTGACATGCGTGTTACGTATTTACATCTCTTACAGTGTCAGTGTTTTTTTCTTATTTTTTTCCTGCTCAACTAAACAATAGTATTTGGCATATCTTTTGTGTATTTTCAAAAAGAAGGGAAGGAAAAAAAAAGTTAAACTGTCATTTTTTGAGACAGCCATCTGGTGTTACATCTGATAATTAATCGCCACACCGTATGACCTCCAGTTCATTGTCGAAATGAGTTTTTGTTGCAACCGAAGTTATTGATAAAAATAACTTTTAGAATCAACAAGGGGCAAAGTTCTCAGTTTTCGTCATTTCTTTATAAATAAAAGTAATTGACGGTTGTGACAATTATTAAATCTCTCTTCTGTACGTCAAAAAAAAAAAAATGATTTTTAATATTCCAATTTTCTTGTAATCGTTCCTATCAGTAATTTTTCTCAATTATAGATTTGACAGACCTTGTGATTTCTTCACAGATGGTTTAACTTCCAGACATGGTTTTTATTTCTCTTAAAACAATTCTTTATATCTAAAAGGCAAGGTCAACATTCAACAGCACTCTGTTCTTAACCTATTTCTCAAGCATTCACTTTCTTTTAAAATTGAATTTTTTTTTTTCGATTATTTTAATAATGAATTCGAGAATTAATAATTCACCTAGCAAATATGGTATTAAAAATATTATAGTATAAAATATCTGTCATTTTTTTCCTATAGTAAACTTTGAAAATTTTCTATTTTTAGGCAAACCTAATTTTGTCTTGACATGATATTTAAGCAATTTTTGAAATTCAAGGATTGATATTTTTGGTCTTTTGATAATTTTTAAAGCATTTCAAAACAATATTTGAAATATTTTAAAGATTAGATTTCTGAATTTCTAATATTTTAGTTATGTAAATGTATTAGTGTTCAAATTTACTTATTTGGACATAGAGTATTTATATATATATTAATTATTTTTATTTGAAAAATGAATTGTTAAATTTTATTATAATAAATTGAATTTTTTTGTAAAATTATATATTTGTATGTATGTCATATGTTAATATAAAATGTATTAAAAGTTTCTGCAATTGCTACAAAATTTAATATGTTTAATTTGAAAGTTAAATTGAATGTTTTGTCATTTTTTTTAAGTTTTAAATTAATGTTTTTTTTTTATTTTGAATCATATGGTAGTGGGGTTGATTGACCAGTTAAATAAAATAAAAATGTTTCCATTATTTTTAAAAATAGTTAAATTGTGGCTTAGTATGCTGTTGTGTATTATACTATAAGTATTGTATTGTTATCGAGGTTTGTAAGGAAATTTGCAATAGCAGTTGCCAGATGTCCAAACAGTTAAGGTGTCAGTCTGTACTCTGAGAGCTCTTGAATGAATCCAGATGGGTTGAAAAAACTCACAGGAATTTTTTGGGTGAGTTGTTTGTTTGGATATGTTAGGCCCAATTCCTTATCATACAGCTTTTCCATTGTGGACCTGACCCATTTTAATCAAGCTCATCATGGGCTTGATTTAAAATGTTGTCCTAGTCCCCACAGGGTGGAAAGAGTAAAGAAAAGTAACAATTAACTAATTTTTTCTTGAAAAACAATTATTACAATTTTAATATTATTTAAATTTTTTAAAAATATATCAAATTGATTTATTCTTGAGAGCTTTATCTTGTAAAACTTATCTAGCCTTTTTATATATAGCTTTATATATATAAGACAAACCTTTTTAACTGTATCTAATTGTTTCCTTGTTTTAGCTGTTTAATTGTTTCATCTAATGTTTATTGACTTGTTCTGGCCTCCTTTATATTAATGTTATGTACAGTACTTTATATCTTGGTACTATTCATTTTTTTTAACATTGCTCCAATTAGGACAAATGATACTATGCTACATTATTTAAACTACATGAAGTATTCAGTATATTTTCTGCAAACTCATTTTCTCCCATTTTTGTTTGAATGTTTAAATAGCTATTCTGATTAGAAAAACAGTGTAAAAATTAAAAGTATAAACTTTTCAAATAATGATAAAGAATTAAATAGACTTTTGGTATTAGAGACCTCAAATCTTCACCTAAATTACATATTAATTTCATAAAAATCTTTTATTTGCAATAGTTTATTAAAAGGTTTATTTTAACAGAAAGTTAAAATAAACCTTTACACAATTTAACAAATAGTACATGTAAACAATACATGTAAACAAAGTTTTTAAAGCCTTTTCTTTGAACTTGATTTTTCTGTAGTTTTGAGGTCAGTATGGATTCTGTTTACAGATATAATAGTTAGATAAGCTAGTCTCTTTATAATAAACTAGAATTCTGTTTGGTACAATCAAGCTTGACATTTTGAGACATTCAGTATTGAATATAGCATGATTTAGTAGTAGTATAAATGATAATCTTAGTAAATCATTGTCACATTTTTTTTTTGTTATATTTAATATTAAATGACTTGACTTTTTTTTTAAATATTAATGACCTATAAATTCAAATTAAAAAATATGCATTGATATAAATATTTTAATGTTTATAAATGAAACTATTTTAGTGTGTTTTTTGCAAAAATCATTCTTAAATTTTTAAACTGCTAATTCAATTAGTTAATCTGTTTAAATAAAATTCTACATATAACACAATATCTAAATATCAAAGAGACATCTGTAGAAAATATATGCATATATATATATAATCATGCATCAGGAATATATATATATATATTCCTGATGCATGATTTCTTAACTGATTGTTAACATATGGTTTTTAAATTTAAAAATGATATATACATATTCATTATTATATATAAAATTAATTTATAATATCAGATATGTTTTGATTCATTTCATGAATTTTATACTTTGTTAGTTTAGGAATTTTAACTCCAGTGATTTAAGAATAGTTAGTTTTTCAGTTTAAAGTTAATATTTAAATGCCTATTTTACTTGTAATAAATGTCAATTTTTTTTTTATCCAGGCTATAAGTAGTCTGAAAGAAAAGTCTAGACATTTAATTAAAAAGAAACTCAAGTAATTTGGCTTAAGGCTAGGCAGTTAGTCTTCCATCTTGTACTAATATTGATAATTACATTTGTTTAGAATTAAATTCAATAATTTAAAATATTCTGGGAGGAAAAAAAAATCTTGATGTTTTAGATATGTTATTAAAATTTAGGCTGGATTTTGCTNGGATTATTAAACACTATAATTTAAAAAATAGGTTGATATAGAAGTAAATGGAGAACCAATAGATATTCATATGAAATTAGGGGAATCTGGAGAAGCATTTTTTGTAGAAGAAACAGATGATGAAATGGTAAGTAATTGAGTGTTAAACAAATCTTAAAAGTTATGTAAAATTTAGATGTTTAAAAATATCAAAAATATTTGTTAAATTTTATTTATCTAATATTTTTCTATCCTCTTAAATTTTTAAACATTGTGATAGTTATAGATATAGCTGTTTTTAAGTGAAGTTTTATTAAAATGATTTAAATTGAGATTTTAAATTTTTAACAGGTTAGGAAGTTATCTTTCATAATGAGTTTAATTAAATTAACTTCAAGTCTGTAATAGGAAAAAAATAGAAATGTAAAATATTGCTAACAATCAACAAATTTATAACATTGTACTGGATTCATATAGCTGAATTGGAATTGAAAATTATATATATCAAAAAGATAATGAATTCATCTGTTTATAAATCATTTTAATTATCCTTCTCTTCCATTGTAGGTTCCAAGTCATTTAGCAACATCACCAATACCTCCAGCACCAAATTTAGAGGAGGAATTAAAAAAATTGAAAGAATCTTCCAAAGGAAGTGAAAATATAAGCAATGGAGATATTTTATTAATAAATGGTGAATCCTATTTAAAAGACAGTGACTTTTTTCAACAAAATGTTGATAGTAAAAGTATTTCCTCTGATCAAAGTGAAAATTATGCAGTTAAAGAAAGTGAAAATGAAATGAATTTACAGACAAATATTGTGAATAATCAGTCTTATAATAATGAAGTGCCAAACTTCTTACCTGTTCAAAAAGAAGTTTCTGTAGCTATCCAAACTGAAAATTGCAAAGAAGAAAATGAAACAAAAAGCAGTGATCCAGTTCAGTCAGTTTCAATTGTTATAGATGAATCTGATGATGCAAAATCTAAAAGAAAACGAAAGAAAAAATTAAGACCTAAAACAAGAGCATATAATAAAGAAAATAAAATTCCTTATGGTATTAGAGAGAGTGCGAACATTCCAATGACTCAATCCATACCAATTGCAGATCATAGAGTTGCAGATCAAGCAGTTCAAGAGGAGGAAGAGGAAATATTCCATATGGATGAGGATTATAATGATGATGAAGGGTTTTCAGCTGCAAGTATGATTCGTTCAATGAGTTTACCATTAAATAGTGCTGTATATAGGGAACACTTAAGGAAGAATTGGCCAACAAGGAGATTATCAGCTACATATACTGGAGAATTGCATCCTTTCAGTGATGGTGATGTAACACCACCATGCAGGTATTTCATCATCATATACTTTTTGAAAGAAATTTTTGAATTTTTAATTTTTATGTAACTATAAAAATATTGGGTTGTTTGGAAAGTAAGTTCATTTTTTTCCATGGAAAAAACACAATATTTTTATAATAAATAAATATTTTATTGAATTATATATCAACCATTTTGGTCAAATACCTGTTGTCATCGTTTCTGTAGTAGCATGATTTCACATTCATAAAAGTTTTGATCCTTGCTTACAAAAAACTGATCCAAGTGATTTTTGACATTGTCATTTCAAGTAAATATCTTAGTTAAAAAAATTTGTATAGACTGGAACAAGTAATAATCTGAGTATGCTCCATCTGGCAAATATGGTTGGTGTGATAGCACTTCCCATCTAAGATATAACAGTTTCTGACCAGTTACCGAACTTGTGTGAAATTTGACTTTATCGTGGTAAAACACTACACCTGTTTTATTGATCAATTCTGGCCGCCTTTTCTGTATGATGATATTACTCAATTTGTTTACTTGATGGCAGTACACTTTCGAATCAATTGTTAAAATGTCTGGTAAAAGCTCCAAAAAAAAAATTTCCTTAAAATCCCACCAAAGAGAGCATCTCTCTTTAAGAACATGGTGGAACCTATATATCAAGCTTTGAAATGAAATCAATTTGTTTCAAGTAATCATAAACAGTTCAGTTTGACAAATTTAATCCCTTAGTGATTTCACATGTTGTTATTCGGCAGTTTGCTTCAATCAGTACCTTTATTTTGTTTTCATTGGCTTCAACTGGCCATCCAGAATGTGGTGCATCTTCAATATTGAAATTGCCAGAACGTAATTTTGTAAACCAGTTTTGGCACTGTCATTCTGTCAAGACATCTTCTCCATACACGTCACACAATTTCTTTTCTCGCTTGAACAGCATTCTTACCTTTTCTGTAATAAAAGAGCAAAATATGCTGAGAATGCTGCTTTCGATCTTCCATATTTGATGGGACACAAAAAATGAACAATTGCACAAAATCAAACAAAATTTTTTACAAATAAGCCTTAAAATGCTAGTTGTCAAAATATATAATGATAATACAGTTTAGAATGAAAATGGCGGGAAAAATATGACTAATCCATCTAGTGGTAAAAAGAACAAACTTACTTTCCAAACAACCTAATAGTTTGTGCACTTAATGTTGTTACACATTAGTAATACTTACTATAATAATAAATTGTTCATTCATTTAGTCCTCCTGAATCACGTCCACCTAGTCCAAAATCTGATACTGAGTTTGAAATTCAGAAAAATGATGCCATATGTCAAACAGAATGTGATGAAGTGAGTTGGGATTGGGGAGAATTGCCTAGCATACCTAAAAAATCCATGGATGGTAAAGGAAAATTAATTCCTAAAGTAGAACTTTTGTCATCTGATGATGAAGATCAGATTAACAAATCTAATAAAACAGGTAAGTTTTATTAGAATAGAAAGTTTTTTATGAATTTATCTATTTAATATCAGAAGTTTCAGTTTATTATTTTTTGAATTTTTTTTATTGTAGAGGAAGAGAAAAGATCAATGCTCAGTGGCATGTGGAATTTTATGAGATCAACAAAAAAATTAAGACATATGCCTGAAAGTGAAGGAATATACTTAGATGATCTAAATTTCAATGATCTTGATCCTGAAATAGCAGCTTTATATCTACCAAAATTTCGGTAATTGATTTTTACAAAATTATATTTGAAATTTAATTAAATATATACATTTCAATATATTTATTTAGATCCCAGTATCCTATAGTCAGAGTAAAAAATCAAATGCTTGAAGATGATGCTGAATCTGGTAATGGACCTTCTTTACCTCAATCACCACGTAGTGTTGAAGGAGTATTAGAAGGATCACATGGCTTAGATAGTGATGTTGATGATAGACATTCATCATATAATTATTACAGGTTTGTATGAGTGCAATTTTATATATATATAATATATTTTTTTTTTGCTTTGTATTGTTATACTATTTAATGTTGAAAGATATATTTTGTTTTTTCCATTTAAAATTTTGTATTTTTAACAATTTGCTATTTTACATTATCAATAGTGCTATGAAAAAACTCCTATAATTTCATTAATTGAAATTTTTGTATCATTTATTGGAATAATTAGTATATTACTTACCATTTTACTTCATATAAATTCTGGATTTATATACTTAAGATTTGTTACTACACTATGTAATTATGTAATAAAACTTGTGATTTGGTGAGAATGGAATCATATAAAAATTCAATTTTAATTCAGTTTGTTTTATTACAAAATATAATAAAAGGATTTGAATTATAATCAATTATGAAGCATAATAGATTTTTTTTCTTTAAGCATAAGCTAAAAATTAAATCTATCATTTTAGTTTTTCAGTTTCAAATGATTTACAATATAAACATCAACAGCTAGTATTACAATTTATATATTATAGTATAGTTAATAGATGAAACATCATTATCAAAAATTATATACTGGTATAGTAATATGACATTTGACAAAATATTCAAAAATTGTTGCTAACATTTTAACATTAAATATATGTGATGATTCATTTATATTAGTAATAACATGATATTTCAGTTTAATTGATGTAAAAAGACAAATATTCTATTTTTAATTTATAATAAAGTTTTTAATTTAAAATAACTAAGTTTTTATATAAATAAATGAATTAGTTAGTGTTACATAATTTTATTCTCATTTTCTGAATATAAAGTATAATGAAACCTTGAAGTGCTTTGTTTTATATTTTCATAAAAGAAACTATAAACTAAATTTGGTTTGACATTTTCAAGAATAAACTTCATATTAGCAATAGTCTATAAAATATGTTAAATTTTATATTTTTAAATTTATCAAAAAAATTAACTTTCTTAAATTTTTAGCTTGCATTTTTTTGTCTTGTGTAGATACACAGAATTTAATATTTTGCAGAATTCATGTAGCAGACAAATACCAGTTGTTCAAATTGTTATTTAGAATGCAAATTAATGCAAGTAATATAAAGATAAAATGACTAGGTTTTAAACATGCACTGAAATTGACATAATAATTTTTCTACCATAATTTCAGAAATTTTAAAAAATATTCTCTCACAATTCTATTATAACAAATTTCTTTCAATAAGTTAATCTTTGGTGTTTTATTTGTTAGTTAGTAAAATTATTTTTGTTACCATTAAAAGAGTTATTAAAAGGCAAATCTTTTTAGGATTTAAAAAAAAAAGCAAAATGTGAAAGCTTAGTAAAAAATTTTTAAATTCATAGGTGGTGATAAATTTTGTTTGATTGTTAAGTAGTTGTTTGTGCATTACTAAAATTAAAACAATTTTTCCAAATTTTTATCTGGAATGAGGAGTTGTCATTGTTGTGTAATGTTTTTAAATCTCCATTTATATTAATATAAACTTTGCATAAATTTGTAAATAAATTGATTTCAAATGATTTGATTGTATTTTAAAATATTTAATATAACATGCACATTTTTATTTTTGCTATTTTTTTTGTTTTAGTAAATACTACGATGATTTGGCTATGTCTCTTTGTGGTGGATTACAAGATACAGAAGGTGAAATTCCTGATCAGTGTTTTCTCCAGAGTCTTATTACATATGATGATTTTTTGCAAAATACATCTTTATTACAAAATCCCAATTTGGTTATTAGGATGGGAGGAAAGTATGTACCAAATTTTCATATTTGTTAAGTTTTTAAATCATAATTTGTATAAAATTACTCTGACTCTAAAACATATGCACAGATAGAATTGTCCAATTACTGTAAAACTCAGCACACAGTTGTCTCTAACAGATTTGTAAATGGTTACTTCATTATCTGGTATGCAATCAGACCACAAGTGCCTTAAAATTATGATCCCAGTACCCCTATAAAATAACATTTGAAAATTCTGAACACTGTGAACCTCTGCAGTGTTTGGTGAATTAGTTGTTGTTTGAAGTCTTAAAATACTAGATATGGCTGTACAATACATCAGACTATATTTGTAGAATTTAAGAAAAACCATATCATCAGGTTTTAGTAAAACAGCCATCCTGCTTCTCTTAATTGCCTGCCATCTGGGTCATTCTGAATTTGATTTGTTGGAGACAGCAGATATTAGTACATACTTACTTGATAGGCAGGCTCTGAATATCCCAGACAGAGACCACCAGGATTGAGACAAACATGAACAACTTGCAACAGTATCTTTTGTTCACCATCCGTAGATGGAAACTGTATTACATAACCCTGTATCATTTGCAAAGCAACCATTACATTATTACTAACACTCCAATATCATTGGCTTTGCTTGCAGTGGTGCTGTGACAGAAGCATGCCATGGACTGCTATGAAACAACAGTATATATTTTTTAGTGACAAATTCTGTTTCTCTTTGGGAACAAATGACCACCATATTAGTCTGGAGGACAACTGATGAGCACTTCAGTCCTATCTATATTGTTGAGTGACACTGTCCTCACTACTGGCAATTTGGTCTGGTCTGGGAAAGCATTTAGTATAACAGTCTGGTCTGGCAATTGTGGTCTGGGAAAGCATTTAGTATAACAGTCAGTCATCCTTAGTTTGGTGTGAGGTACATTGACAGCACAGTGGTATGTTCAGAAAATCCTATCCTTGTGTTATCTGTCATGACAGGGCTGAAAGCAGTCATTTTCCTGCAAGATAATCCTGCACACTGGGTTTCCATAAATGTCTGTCATGTTGCCAAACTTTTTGGCCTGCCCAATCTAGCTTGGTTGTCCATTGAGCACTTGTGGTACCAGATGGGATGTCAACTTTGGCCAACTACAAGTGAGTGATCTGGGGTGACAGTTGCAATAGTTCTGGGCAAATCTGTTGCAGGATAGTATATGTTGTCTGTCAATATATGCTTATATTGGTGCATATGTTCAGGCAAGAGGCCAGATGAAGTACTAAAAGGTTCAATTTCATTTGATTCCAATACTGCTGCTTTTGTGTGTAACTGTTTTTATCAATGAGGGCTATATATATAAAGCTTGTGATGATTACACTTACATGGTAAGATTTTATAGTACAGTGGTACCTCAGGATACGAACGCTCCAGCATACGAAATTTTCAGGATACGACATGAAATTCGAACATATTTTAGCTCCACGATACAAAAACTCACCATACGACATTACATTAGTTTGCAGTGCCATTTTTTATTCATTTCTGTTCATCGGAAATCTCGAGGTATTATCAGAAAGTGACTGATTTTATTGAAAAGAAACATCCCGAAAAGGTTCACACTGGCCATATAGCTGCTCAGAGTAATGACATTGCCTAAGTCATTTTAGAAACATTTTAAAAAGTAGGNAACTGAATTAAAATTGCTTTATTAGAGAGTAAAATATTTTAATTTGTTCTAATGCTTTTAAGTAATTGACACCTAACTTCAGGAATTCTATAAAAAATATTGTTTACTGAAAATAATTGTTGCTTGCTTGAAAATATTAGAATGTAAATATTCAACTTAATTGTCACAAGCTAAACTAATTTAATATAAATTAAAGAACTAAATTTGCTTTGAAGACATTAATTACAATGTTGTTGTTTTTGATTTTTTAAATGTATTCATATGAAAAGAAAACAGCATTTTAAAAAATATATATAGTTTCAATTTATTTTTGGGTTAATCATATAGTATTATTGAACTGGAACAAAAGAAAATATTAATGGATTGGCCTGCTAAGAAATTTTTATAAAAATTTCATTTAATATAAATGTTTTTATACAAATATTTAGTATTTTTTAAATATGAAAAATATGTTTAATTTTAAAATTAGTTTCCTTTGATACTTTATATGACATAAATTACTTTTGAATTAAGATGATGTTTGATAAGTTATATTAAAATCACTCTATGTTGGGTTGGTTTGATTTAGTGCATACTTGCCAATCTTTAGAATGGAGAATAGCTGAGATGTTGGTAAAAAAAAAACTGCTGCTCTTTGAATAAAAATCTGACAGCATAAAATGTGAGAAAATTCCTTAAGCATTGTGCAATATTAATGTTAAATACCTTTTTTAATTAATAAACAAAATTTAATTTTATCTGTGCATATGATATCATGTAAAGCTATTGCCATAAGTATGTTATTAATATTTTATAAACACTGTCAAGGGTATGGCAATAGCTTTATACTCTTTAACATCACTTTAAAAACATCAAGTATTTTATGGGACACATCATAAATCACACTACTACAGGGTGCTATAGCCTAGCATCTTTTGCCCAACCAGAAGACATCATAAATCCACACCCAGATTTATCATGTGTTCCATCTTAATGTGTCATGAGTCTTGATATTGCATGATGAGTGCCTCCTGTTATATGCCTTTGTGCAATGTTTTTTGTTGTTAATTTCTTTTGTTATAGTGTACTCATGACAGTTGATATCAGTCAGTTTATTGACTTTCACTGCAATTATTAATGACAATGATTTTTCTGGTGGTGATTTATTTCCTATCTCTGTCTTACTTTTTCTTATCATATTGGACAACATACTATGAGGACAATCTGCCAAGGTGGGGGTTGCCACCCAGGAGGACTTTTCTATGGGAAAAACTGGCCTCCTATTTAGGTGTTATACATTTAGAAAAAACCCAGAAAACCGGGCCACGTGTGACAAGGATAAGTGTTCAGTGATTTCATTTACTTTGCCACTGATGAGTCTGTTCATATTTGTATTTGGTGTTTTTGATTCTGATAAAAAGAACTACTTTCAATAAATTTTTCCAAAAATATAAGATAATTTGTCATAAATATGATTAATTATGAAATAATAAAATTCATTATTGTTAATGTAATTATAATTTTATACAAATAAAAAATACTTATTCTTTTATAATGCATGTTTTAAAACTAGAATACTATTTTTTTTGTTTTATATTCTAAGTTTAAACTATAATTATGAGAAGTTATTTTGATATACCATAAGTATTCCTTTGTTTCTTAGTTAAAGTGATTTGCTTAACAGCAGATTTTTAAATAACTTTTTTTTTATTGTAATTAGATTTTGCAAAATACTTAGATAATACATTAGTAGTGGTTATTTCTTCTCAATTGAAAGAAGAAAAATTAGTTACTGATGTGATGAACATACAAAGTAAACATTTATTCAGCTCTGTTTAGGTTACAACATAACAAATATATATAAAAAGATTACATACAAAAAGGTAAATACATTAAAAATATTTTAATCTTGCAAGTGCTTTCGACGTAAATATGCACGTTGTCTTCAGGCAATTCAAAATCGAATAGAGAATTCGAACCATACATTTACGTCGAAAGTGCTCGCGAGATTAAAATATTTCTAATTATATTTAACGCCTCATAGTCTGAAGTTTTGGAAGATAAATACATTAATTTCAAGGTACACATAAGGTTACTGCTACAGTTGTCTCAAAAAAAAAAAAAAAAAATGCTTTTGGCTAATTAGAACATTGAGCTTTCTACATCCAAGCTGTGATTCAACACCATTTAGTACTTATTTTTAATCTATTGTCTTCACAAAACTTGCATCAGAAGAAACTTTATCCTCTTTGATACTGATGATATAACTTCAAATTGCCTTAATTCTTAAACATTCTCAAACAAATCTCTTTTTAAATCATTTCTTGCTCTCCATTTTGATGCTTTGATAAATTTTCAAAATATTATAGTAACTTAGTTATAGAATTTTTCTATAGGATTGCTCCTTAGTTAGTATATATTAATTTAACAAGTATTTCATAAATTTTGAACAGATTTTTTTCACTTTTTCTGAACAAATTTTAAAATTTAAATCTGTGTGCCTACTTGTTATTGACCAGTATGTTGAATTGTAGATCAATTCTCAAAATTACGCAAAAAATTTTTATTAAAGTCTTAAGAAAAAAAAAAATTGGAGAGGGATTGCACTATTTATCTTTGCTTTTAATAAAAGTTAGTTGAACAGAGCAATCTGAAATTGCATAGATTTAATAATTTTAATATAGCTAATGCAAAAAAAAATTCAAATATTTAAGAATTGCAACTGTCAATGACAGAAATTGAAAATTAATGAATGAAATATAAGCATTATTTAAAAACATAAAGTTCAACAAAGCATTTAGGTAAATTACAAGTAATTTTTTAATGAACACTTGTAACATGAAATTGTTCATTTTAAATGTTTAGCACATCAAATACTTTGGGGGAAATTGGTTTTGATATTGTAGCATTTCACAAAGTTTAATACTTTAAATTTTGCAAAATTGCTGAACAATTGGAAATCTCTTTTACAGAAATCAATTTATTCCGTCTAAATTTTTAAATTCAGAAATTTTACTATTTTAAATATTTTTAAAGATTATAATTTTAATGTCTGATCTGGTCTTTCTAAAAAATCTAATATAAAGTATGAACATTTACTTTTGTTTAAAATTATGCAAACATTTTAAAAATTGCATTATAACCAAGAATGTTTTTAAACATTTTTTTCCTGTAATTTTTAAACCTAATATAATAACAAGTATTTTTAATCTTTCATCTAAATGATGTGTATATGTACAGTACACATACCCATTCATTTTTTGTTTACATATATACATTGTTATATATTTTTGTTTGTAATCATGTGTTTTGTATTATATGAAACCAAATTCTACATTGATAAATTTAGTGTGGCAAAATGCAAAAACCAGTCAATTAAATATTGAAATTTTAATTTCAGTTTGTGTATCCACACCTAACAAACATGAATTACATAGGAAAAGTATTTACGAATGTCAAAGAATTTTATAATGAGATTAATTCTGCAACTCTAACTGGTGCTATTGATGTTGTTGTTGTACGTCAACCCAATGGAACCTATTTATGTTCGCCATTCCATGTTAGGTTTGGAAAAATTGGTGTTTTACGAAGCAGAGAGAAAATAGTAAGCTATAATAATGTTTATGCCATAAATTTATTTGAAAAATAGGATTATTAAACACTATAATTTAAAAAATAGGTTGATATAGAAGTAAATGGAGAACCAATAGATATTCATATGAAATTAGGGGAATCTGGAGAAGCATTTTTTGTAGAAGAAACAGATGATGAAATGGTAAGTAATTGAGTGTTAAACAAATCTTAAAAGTTATGTAAAATTTAGATGTTTAAAAATATCAAAAATATTTGTTAAATTTTATTTATCTAATATTTTTCTATCCTCTTAAATTTTTAAACATTGTGATAGTTATAGATATAGCTGTTTTTAAGTGAAGTTTTATTAAAATGATTTAAATTGAGATTTTAAATTTTTAACAGGTTAGGAGTTATTATCTTTCATAATGAGTTTAATTAAATTAACTTCAAGTCTTTAATAGGAAAAAATAGAGATGTAAAACATTGATAACAATCAACAAATTTATAACATTGTACTGGATTCATATAGCTGAATTGGAATTGAAAATTATATATATCAAAAAGATAATGAATTCATCTGTTTATAAATCATTTTAATTATCCTTCTCTTCCATTGTAGGTTCCAAGTCATTTAGCAACATCACCAATACCTCCAGCACCAAATTTAGAGGAGGAATTAAAAAAATTGAAAGAATCTTCCAAAGGAAGTGAAAATATAAGCAATGGAGATATTTTATTAATAAATGGTGAATCCTATTTAAAAGACAGTGACTTTTTTCAACAAAATGTTGATAGTAAAAGTATTTCCTCTGATCAAAGTGAAAATTATGCAGTTAAAGAAAGTGAAAATGAAATGAATTTACAGACAAATATTGTGAATAATCAGTCTTATAATAATGAAGTGCCAAACTTCTTACCTGTTCAAAAAGAAGTTTCTGTAGCTATCCAAACTGAAAATTGCAAAGAAGAAAATGAAACAAAAAGCAGTGATCCAGTTCAGTCAGTTTCAATTGTTATAGATGAATCTGATGATGCAAAATCTAAAAGAAAACGAAAGAAAAAATTAAGACCTAAAACAAGAGCATATAATAAAGAAAATAAAATTCCTTATGGTATTAGAGAGAGTGCGAACATTCCAATGACTCAATCCATACCAATTGCAGATCATAGAGTTGCAGATCAAGCAGTTCAAGAGGAGGAAGAGGAAATATTCCATATGGATGAGGATTATAATGATGATGAAGGGTTTTCAGCTGCAAGTATGATTCGTTCAATGAGTTTACCATTAAATAGTGCTGTATATAGGGAACACTTAAGGAAGAATTGGCCAACAAGGAGATTATCAGCTACATATACTGGAGAATTGCATCCTTTCAGTGATGGTGATGTAACACCACCATGCAGGTATTTCATCATCATATACTTTTTGAAAGAAATTTTTGAATTTTTAATTTTTATGTAACTATAAAAATATTGGGTTGTTTGGAAAGTAAGTTCATTTTTTTCCATGGAAAAAACACAATATTTTTATAATAAATAAATATTTTATTGAATTATATATCAACCATTTTGGTCAAATACCTGTTGTCATCGTTTCTGGTAGTAGCATGATTTCACATTCATAAAAGTTTTGATCGTTGCTTACAAAAAACTGATCCAAGTGATTTTTGACATTGTCATTTCAAGTAAATGTCTTA